CCAACCTTAGTCCACTGAACTTCTCCATTTTCCTTTCGAATCCACTTTCAACTTTCCTTTCTTCTCCTATTCTTCATCCCAATGGGCAACCAAAAGACAGCAACTCAAACCGGTACACGAAAGTGCATGGTTAATGGTTGTTCAAACTGAAAAAACTGAAACTGATAGACGAATGTGATTGTGAAATTGGTTAGACAAGGGGGCATGCACGAGGTTTATCGATTACTTTTTAGGGGCGAAAAGCAGACATAATAGGTTAAAAATAGTCCTGTTGTGTTGGCAAGAAGTATAAGAATATGAAACCGGAAAACCAGTCCGAGTGGAAGATGTTGAATTCATTTTGATAGACGTTATCGGATGCTCACTGCCACAAAGAGAAAGATATGGGCGACTGTGGTTCGTAGGCCTCTTTTGGGCTGGTTTGGAGTCAGGGGTTTCAGCCTGCGTGAACTACCAGTGGTTCACTTATCTGGTTATGGCCCCGGATTTTGACTGTTTGTCCTTGCATTTTGGTGAAGAAAAAACTCCGCTGTGAGAAAGCAGTGAGTAGGGCTTCGTCAGCAGAGGCTGTTTGAGACGCATTTCGCGCAGTGTAAAGACAGGGCGATCAGCCACACCTTGTAACACTCATTTTCGATCATACTGAATCGAAGGGAGAAAATAATAATCGTTTAATCTTACAAAACGTCTAGTGGACGCACCTGGATCATGAGTTGATAACGCTCCCAGATACAATCAATCTCCTGCTATGTCGCACCTCTGAGAAGTTGCATTTTCCAATATGTTCCCACTTTTTCGAAAACCGAAACCAATCGTATGCCTAATAGTCCAATTTCTGACCATGCGATGTCGCAGTTCCTGACACGTACTCACTTGGTCGTTGACCGATGTTCGGGACGACCATGGACCATCCACCCTGAAATGTCGCACTCAACCAATGGTGTTGCACCCAGTGTAACGCGTTCATGGCACTGTTTACTGATTGGATAATCCTAGCGAGGAAGTTACACCGATGCAAGTGATCGGAGACAGTGACATTTGACGTTAAAATGTGCAAGCGTATATCGATCAAAGAGAAGCAGAATGTGTTGGAAATGCTGAAACAGCCAGGTGCAAATTAGAGTTCCGTAGCTAAATCACTTGGAATTTCACGAAAAACTATCTACAATGTTGTATCCCATCGAACGACTATCGGTGAATTTTTGAACGCTGGAGCATCTGAGGGAAGATGCCATCTAAAAACCAACGAAAAGTTCAAGGCAGTGAATGAGGCAACTTTGGCTTGGTTTACCGCTATGTGGGAAAAGCATAGAGAGTTCCCAATGGTAGAGAGCATCGTACGTAAGAAGGCAATCCAGCTAGCAAAAAGGTTGTATCATACTGACTTCAAGGCTTCCAAAGGTTGGTTTCGCTCTTGGTCAGACAGATATGGTATTCAGTCGTACGAATTAAGAAACAAACAGCTCATGTGTGTTACGTTATAGGTCTGTGGGGAAAGTTTAACGGTACCAAATGAAGCAGTGGCTGAGTTTCGAGCGGGGTTACCGCAGTTGATACAAGGATATTCTGACTGTGATATTTTCAATGTAGATGAAAAGCTTTGTATTACAGGCAGCTCCTAGAAAGAACATTGAGTCTGAAAGGGAAGACAGTTTCTGGGTAGAAGAAATCCAAAGAGATGGTTACGTCACTGCTTTGTGGGAGCATGACTGGAGAAAAGTTATCACAGTTGGTGATTGGAAAGTTTCAAACTCCACGATACCTCCGAGGTATAGATAGAAAAAGCCTTTCATGCGGTTATAATTCTTCAAAGAACGCATGGATGACTTCTACGTTATTTCATAGTTGGCTGCCCGATATCAACCGCACAATAGTTTCTCAAAGACGATCTATTTTGCTAGTTATGGACAACGCCCCTTGCCATAACCAAGCCGCAGCATTTTCCAACGTCAAATTGGTATGGCCGAGGTGGACATTCTCATGGCTATGCATCTGGTCAAGAAAGCTTGGGTCTTGTACCCCCGCACGTACTGATCAACGCTTCTCTGAAAGCTGCGTTCAAATCTACATTGATTCAGCCAGTAATGCAGCCACCACAGGATAAACGCGATCTTATCGAGAACTTTACACATGTTTCTATTGATGACTGTCTTTTTGAAGAAGAAATCGCCTGCTTGGAATTTTTGTATCAAGTCTTCCTTTTAGTCATTAGATGAATTCGTTTCGAATCAAGCTAAGCACCGCAAAGAAGAAGATGAATGTGAGGCAGTGAATGCGCCGGAAGTTATCTCAATCAGAGAGGCGCAGAAGTTATTGGATCAACTGAAGCTCTACCTTGGCTAATGCTCGGAGTTCGGGTCGATTATGGGAGTGTACAATTGATTTAAACAGCACGTTTGTTGATTTCCAACGGAGAGCTAAGCTGAGACAAACGACGATTTATGATTTTACTAAAAATACATCTTTCCAACCTGCGAAGGATTTTTGCAATTTTG